GCTGCATATCTGGAGCAGAAGTCTGAAGATAGCATGGGCACCATAGGAACTGCACAGCACCATACACGTTCCCTGTGGATCTGCTCCCTTTCCTTGCCCCTCTATTCATCACTCTGGGCCCCATCTACACTAACCTTTTCTCCAGGTACCAAATATCTTCTGACCATTTAACTCCTTCCTCTACAGGATGAGCTTCTTGGCTGTGGGGAGTTTGCCAAGATTGTGAGACCTGAGAGAAGGCAAATAACCAAGGTGAGGCCAAAGATCAGTGCTGCTATTGACATGGAGGTACTTCACAGTCTATGGCATAGTGAGAGGGAATCCAAGAAGCAGTGGCAATCTTGCTGAGTCGTGGATTCGGATATTACTCCATTTTGCAAGCAGTGTACTAGAGAGAAGGGAACTGAGCATAGAAAGACTCCAGAGTATGGCACAAAGTTATTGCTGAGTTTATAACTGCATACTAACTCTGCATGCTCAGATTGAGACACCACAAGTTTGGACACAGAACACCCACCAGGAGCTATAAGATAGAGAGCTACGAGAGCTTACACAGTGTTCCCGCCAGCCAAAGTAGAGATACCACACTGAAGTCCCCAGATGTTCATCACAGAACCCAGTGTAGTCATACATTAGGAAAATGGCTCACGTAGCTCTATAAGACCTACATTAACAAAGCTTAACAACAAACCCTGAAAGGCTCATTCTAGTAAGTAAACAAAGTGCATAGTGGAAAAAAACTGAACACATAAATAAGATAAACAAAACTTAGACACTTAACAACATAACAACCAAAATGGCCTCTATGCAAAACTTCTAGATATGTGAAGGAAAGAAACATGACTCATAAACAAGGGAGAAATGTGACAGTAGGTCCAGAAATGCATAGGATGATGGGATTAACACACAGCAACTTAATACATTATTTTTTAAAGATTTTATTTATTTATTTGACAGAGAGAGAGATCCCAAGTGCGCAGAGCAGCAGGCAGAGAGAGAGGGGGAAGCAGGCTGCCTGCTGAGCAGAGAGCCCGATGCAGGGGGCTCGATCCCAGGACCCTGAGATCATGACCTGAGCCGAAGGCAGAGGCCACTGAGCCACCCAGGCTCCCCTACACACAGCGACTTTAAGACAGCTATTGGAAATAAATATGTTCCAGAATTGAAAGTGAAACATAAAAATAATGAGGGAAACAATGAGGAAAAGTCTCTATAGGAAAGTTATATCTATAATGAAGAACCAAATGGAAAGTCTGGAACTGAAAAGTACAGAAGAGGGAAATATGGAATACCATCATAGACCCACAAGGACAGAACTAATTTTTTACCAACACTCCAAATAAAATCAGTGTCAAAATGAATTTTTTTCAAATGCATCCTGACCCCACACCTCCCCTGAAATACAAAAAATAATTTAGGCACATCCTAAGACCTAAATGCAAGGCTAAAACTACGGGGCTTCTAGAGGAAAACAAGACAATACCTTTGCAAATGTGGGTTAGGGAAAGATATCTTGGGCAGGACCCATTAGCTAATTACTATAGAAGAAAAGAAAGGATGCAGTGAACCTCATCACAGTTAAATCCATCTGCTTATGAACAGACACCACTAAGAATGTGCATAGACAAGACATAACAGGGAGAAAATAGTCCCAACAGGTATATCTTACAAAGGGCTTGTAACCAGAGTATTTTGACAATTTCCACGAGTGAATAATGAAACGAAGGCAAGGAACCCACTTGAAAACTGGGCAAGAGACTTGAATAGGCAGTTCATTAAGGAGGATAGCTAATAATCACACAAAAAAGTATTCCATATCATTAATCATCACAAAAATGCAAATTGATAGCACAGTGAAATACCACAATGAGTCACTGACCAGAATGGATAAAAGTTCAAAGGTGACAACATAAAATTTTTGAGAACTCCAAGAAATAGGCACTACTGATGGGAGTCCAAATTATCATAACAGCTTTGGAAATCTGTGAAGAGTTTCTCATAAAGTTAAACATAACCCTGTTCTGTGGCCCAGCCATTCCAATGCTAGGTGTTTATCCAAGAGAAAGGAAAACAAAAGTCCAGAAAAAGACTCACAAACAGATGTTCACATAGGCTTTGATCACACAAGAATATTAGTAACACACACAACTGTAGAAATCTTGATAAAAGTAACATGCCAGGGGCTGCAAATGGATGATTGCATAGTAGATGCAGCTGTAGGGTTCATCAGCTTGGTACCTACCAACATAAGTCTTGCTCCTGTTTTGTGAAGCACTGACATGTGTCTTGCTCTACCTTCTTCCATCTCTGTTTGATTCCTCAAAGAAATAAAAAACCACCATTTAACACATGTACTCACACAAGCGCTCACACATTTTCTCATTCATTCACTCATACACTAACACATGTACACTCACCTGTTGGCACATATTTACTCATACTCATATACACACTAACTCACGCAAACTCATACATACTCATACACCAGACATTTTTACTCTTGAACACTTTCACACACACTCACATACATTCGCTGACACAAATCTACTTACACACATTAACACTCATAAATATATACTTGGACACCCACATAGTCATACTCACACACAGTTATGTACAGACAAACTTGTACATGCTCACAAATTCATACATACTCACACAGTCACACACAGGACACATTAACCCATGTATACATTTACACACACGTGCATTCACTGACATCTGTTCATTTCACTCTCATGCTCATATATAGACACTTACACATTGACACACATTTTCCCTGAACACACTAACATATATAAACATACACCCACATACCTGCATACTCACATAGTCACACACACTCATGCACAAAGTAACACATACTCATACATGCTTACACTCAACACATATTTATATACATTCACTAACACAGTCTTACATACTCATATTCATACACATTCACTGACACACTTATAGGCACACATTCACAAACTCATATACATACTTCCACATACTTATTCATACACACACTTACAGATACAATAACACAGGCTGGCTTGATTTTGATGCTCTAGGTCTGGATGCCCAGAGGCCCAATAAGACAGGGAGGGATACTGGGGCCTCTGGCTACTTCCTGCTGTCCCTTACCCTCCCTTATTCCTGGAAGTTTCCTAAGTGCCCCGAGAATCCAGACAGCCACTGAACACTCCCAGCTACGTTCTGCTCACTGGCACCATCTGGCTCTGCTTAGCTTTGTTCCCTTGCCAGGTCCATAAGCCAATGTTCCTTAGATGTTCACCACCTTTTGCAATGAACACACCGCCAGGCTGGGACACTTTGGTGGCTCAGTCGTTAAGGGTCTGCCTTTGGCTCAGGTCATGATCCTAGGTTCCTGGGATCAATTCATGCATTGGACTCCCCACTCAGCAGGAAGCCTGCTTCTCCTTGTCCCACCCCCTTACTTGTGTTCCCTCTCTTGCTGTGTCTCTCTCTGTCAAATAAATACATAAAATCTTAAAAAAAAAAAAAAGACACTGCAAAGTTCTCATGGAGCTTACCCCACATATACTCCCATGTTGACCAGGCCACTGTTTCCCCCCTACACCCACATCCCCAGTAGATCCTTCCCTCAATTGCCCACAGTAAACGCAAGACTCAGTTGACACATGAAATTAACTTTATTGAAGAAAACATTTACTGAAACCATCAAAGAGGGAATGACAACAGAAAGTGGAACATCTAACGGCCACGGGAGCCCATAGGTTACAGCTGCCCCCTCCTCTTGGGGTCCCAAATGAAGTGTCTCTGCTTCTCCCAACACCGTGGCCCTCCTGCCTCCCTTCCTGGGGGCCCCATGATCAACCTCTGGCCAGGACGACGGACGCTGGCCACGTCCCCTCACCCCAGGGCACGCACCCTCCCCTCTGGCCGACGTGCTGGGGCCTGGTCCCGCCCCATGGTCTGCACAGGACAGTCCCAGGATGGCGGAAAACGCAGCAGGGGACACTCGGCCAAGCCCGGGACACGGAGTCACAAGAAACAACGGGGTGGCACATCAGAGCACGGTTCCCGTGGAGACTCCCGCTGGCCACCTCGGTCCTTGGTCGGTTCCTCCTTCCCGAGGTCATGGGGCGAGCAGCAGCCGTGCCCTCGGGCATCCTTCCGGCCGTCTCCTGGAACTGGGCTGGGGATCTCGGGGCTGGGGCTGGGGACAGCTGCTCAGAGAAGCACACACACACATCTCCACGAGAACAAGCAGCGGCCGGCTTGAATCTACACCGAGAAAGCAGCGGTGGAGCTCACAACACTGGGAGAGAGCAGGCGGAGCCCCGGTCGCCACCGAAGCTCACGGCAGGCCCCCGGGCTGGGGGTGTGGCTGCCCCGGTGGGCCAGGACACCCACCGCGGGCTCCTGCACACCTCAAGGCTCTGCACGGGAACGGGACCTAGTGGGGTGGGGGAGTAACGTGACACGTGGGTCATAAGGGCCCTAGAGAGACACAAGCGGGTTTCCCAGAACATGGAGTGACGTGCCCTGGGGGATGTACATGAGGGTCTCCCTCTTGGGAGACCCAAGAGGCTGGCACCCTTGAGGCGGTCCCTAACGTCTCCCAGTCCAGAGTGGGTGCCAGATGGCTCCGGGTGCCCCTCACCTAGGCTAGGGTCAGCCACTCAGGGGTGCTTCCCAGACTGGCTGCCTGAGTTGGCATGGATTGGGACTGGGGCTGGGGCCAGGTATGGTGCTGCCATGGGTTGGGGGGGGGCACCTTTCCCCGCCCCATGTGGTGTCATCCTGGTCACCTGGAGTGTGGTCATCCTGGTCACTTGGAGGGGCTGATGGTGGTGTCGAGGTCCCCTTATGGGTGGTGGAGTGCCTGGGGTCTTGGCTTGGGCTGGGTGGGGCCTTCCCTCGGCCCTGCCCCCCATGTGGGGTGAGGCTGCTGCCCCGGCATGGCCTCCCCCTGCCTCCAGAGCTCTGCTGCCTGAGAGGAGAGGGGGGCCCTGGGCCTTCTGAGCCTATTAGCCTGAGGAGGACTCGGGGGGGATCGTCTCCCCAGCCCCATCCACGTTTCCCGACCCCTCTGGGATGGGCTCGAGCCCCTCCTCGGGGGGCTCTCCGGCCTCCTGGTCTCCGGCCTGGGGGAGGCCCTCTGGCTCATAGCCAGGACCTCCTGGGCCTGCCCTGGAAGCTTGGCCCATCTGGGCAGGAGTGGGGCCCCCAGGGGCCTCTGAGGGGCTTGCCTGACCTAGGTCTGCGGGGAGAGTGTCACGATCGTCACTGTCGTCCTCCTCCTCCTCCTCCTCCTCCTCCTCCTCCTCCTCCCACTCCGGCTCCTCCAGCTGCCTCTCCTCCATCTTATCATCCTCCGCCTTAGCCCTGGCCTGGGCACCGGCCCCTTCCTCTGCCTGGGCACCGGCCCCTTCCTCCGCCTGGGCACCGGCCCCTTCCTCTGCCTGGGCACCGGCCTCTTCCTCTGCCTGGGCACCGGCCCCTTCCTCTGCCTGGGCTCCCTCGACCCTGGCTAGACTGGCCTCCCATGCCTCAGACTCCCGAACAATCCCCATCATCTCTAGGAAACTTGGACACCTCCCAGCCATTCTCAGCTTCCTCAGTACCTCGTCCAGAGGCTCAGGAACGATGGCCCTGGTGAGCATGTGCCTCAGGCGCAGGAGGTCAGCTGAGCCTCTGGCCAGGGCCCCCTTCTCAATGCCTTTCTGCAGCAGGACTTCCAGCCGCAACACGAAAGCTGAAAGCCCCTCGCCCGGCTGCTGGTGAGCGGTCAAACACCTCATCCGGATGGTCCTCTGGGTCGCGTTGTCTCCAAACACCTGGGTCAGGGCCGCCAGGCAGTCCTCCGCCGTCCTGGCAGGGTTGTCCGCCAGGAGCTCATGCATGAGCTGCAGGGCTGTCCCTCGAAGGCCTTCCATCAGCCGCCGCCTCTTCTCCCTTTCTGAGACACTCTGCCACACCTGTAGCATGTCGGAGGCATGGTCGAGCCAGGCCTCAAAGGGCTCCTCCCCCGGGGCAAGCGGATCCCTCCCGGAAAACACGCCCAGGCGCTCATACCGCAGGGTCTCCACCAAGGGCTGGATGGCCTGAGTGACCGATCGGAGCCAGCACACCCTGCGCAGTCCCAGCCCCAGGACCCCAGCCATGGTCTCCACCATCTGCCCCTGTTGCTCCAGGAAGTGGAACACGCGACTGAGAAACTCCTCGCCTGAGTAACGGGGCACAAAGACCACGTTCCAAGGACCCCCGGTGCCCGCGATTGCCCTGGGGACCAAAGCATAGTTGACTTCCCGGTCAAGCTCGACCAGGGCCGCACTGGCGTTATCCTCCTCTCGAAACACTTTGCCCAGCACGGTGAAGTGGCCCAAGGGCCACAGGGCGGCCTCCAGGGACTCGTGGAGTTCGGCTTCATCACAGTTCTCCGGGATTCCCAGAATGAGCAGGCCCCTGCGAGCGCTGACGCCCATCCACCTGCACCAGTCCTGCAGCAACGTCACCGCCATCGCGCGCAATTTCTGCCGGCGCGGGGCTAATGCTACGGGCAGGAAACCGTTCCCGACGCAGACCAGGGAGGGTGCTACTGGGAGGGAGGAAAGAATGAGGCGGGGGGTGGGGTGGAGGGCGGCTAGGACTCGGAGAGAACGGCCCAGGTCTCCACAAGCCTGTGAACAGGAACCGGACGAGAGCGAGGTTAATGCCCACACCCTCCTCCCACCGCCAGGTGACCCTCCTCCCCCGGGGCGGCGCCTCTGCCGCTCAGGCTCGATCCCTGCCCCGCCTTCCACCGACCCGCGGGGGCCACAGCCCCCTCCTCACCCCGACCCCCCCACCCCCTGCCCCCGCGGGCTGCCGCAGTCCCGCTGGAGCGGGCGGAGGGCGGCGGGGTCTCCCGGGGGGCCAAGCGCACCCTCCCCGGGGTCTGGTACCTTCCTCTGGGTCGGGGTCCTTCCCGGCGGAGGTCCCAGCAGGAGGGGCGCAGGGGCTGCGCGGAGCAGCGGCCCGGTCGTGCTCGCCTCTTTCCCCGGCTCTCTCGCGCGGCTCTCCCGCTTCCTCTCGCGGTCCCTCTCTCCGCGCGGCACGTGGGCCCGCGCGCCGGCGCCTGCTCGCCGCCACTCTCTGCAGTGCGGACTCGGGGCGGGGGCGCGGTGGCGGCGGAGCGCGGACCCTCCGCGTCGCCCCGGAGACCGCCGGGCCATTGGCGCGCTCGGGTCACGCGGCCGGGCTGCGGCCACCGCCGCGGGCACCCCGGGACCGCGCGTGACGTCAGCTGCTCCTCCCCACCCCGCCGCCGCCCCCTGAGGGGCCGCTGGCACAGGTGGGGGGACCCGGGGGAGCCGCGACTCGGTGCCCCCATCCCTGACCCAGCCCGGTCCACCGCCCTCCGCTCTCGGAGCGTGCCCTCGGGGCGTCAGCGTGGCGAGGGTTCCACACCCGCGGGGGCCCCAAGTCCGCGGGGGCCCGCCGGAGAGGGGCTGGGCAGGCCTGAGATGCGCCCGCGGGCGCTGCGCTCTGGCGTGGGTGGGGAACGGGATTGGGGAGGGGAGGGCGTCCTGGGGACCTCTTCGCCTGTTTCCCCCCTCCTCCACCCCACCCAAGACTGGTCCGGTCCCAGCTCGGCCGGGCAGCACCTTGTCCAGGTGCCATTAATTACGTGGAGGAGACGCCTCGTGCGCACACTCGAGCACTCACACACTCCACCCCAACGGAGGGTCTGCAGTCCCCAGGCTTGCTCGCGGGGGGTGGGGGGGCGAGGGCGAGGCCGCTGTGGGTGCACGCACGACCCGCCGACCCAGACCCACCGGCCAAGGCGCGTCGCTACCCCAGTGCCAGTGGCCTGTCCCAAGATAGGGTGATCCACCGTTCTGGTTTGCTTGGGCTTTTTCCATTTTGAGGGCGTCAAGTCCACTGTCTGGAAATGGAGCCCAACATCTTGGGCCTGCATTTTCCTCCTGGCAGTAGGCTGTAGGTTGTGCTGCATCCCTAGGACCCCAGGACCATCAGAAGAATGGAGGGAGTGGCTGCCCTCACGCAAAGGGTCCAGTGGTCTGTGTGCTCCTGCCTGCCCTGCCAACTACATCCTCGCCTCTTGTGGGCAGGACTCTCCCCAGTCACACAAGGAGGAGCCTGTGCTTGATGTCCCTTGGGAGGCTCACTCACCCAACCAGGTCTGGAAAGCCACCTTGTACCGGGTGGGGCATAGAACTGTCCACTCACATTCCCAGTTTAGATCCTAAATTGGTCCCCATAACTCTTTGAGTAGACTTGAGGCTATGTCTCTTTTGGTTGTTTCATCCACATGAGAATTTACTTCCACTCACAGTCCTGGTAAGGAAGAAAAATCCTCCTCGTATTTACTAGAGACAAAACTGACTACACCTCACATTTGTAGGTTTCCTTCTGCTCAATCGTGGGAAAATGGCAAGACTGTCTAAAAGTGTTTTCTCCAAAACTCGTGATTCACTTTCCATGGTATATGGAATGGGATCTAGTCAAGGGTGCCTTGAAAGTCTACCACGTGGGTCTTTTTCCTAAAAACATCTAGGAGGTTGCTCAGAATCCATGTCTCTGATAAAACACTTGGTTGCCAATTTTCAAATCAGCTTTTTGTGATCCCGGAAAGGCAATGAAATAGCATGGTGACCTGGAAGGCTACATACTGGTCCAAGTTTTGCCACTCTGAGGACTTAACCATCTGCTCAACTTACAGAGGCAGAAAGGGAGTCTCAGAGAAGGGACACAGCCAGCCCAGTCACACAATGAGTAAATGGCAAAGTTATGAGACATTATGGAGAGATGCAAAGTACAGCCAAGGCAAAGAGGGGAATCCAGAATTTCTCTTGGCGGAAGCATGTAGAGGTCCCAATCAGGTGCAATGAAGCAGGCTGTGGCTGTCCTGCATATCAGGAAAGAGGGGTTTAGGGACACAAGGGTCGAACTGATAGATTTCAACATGTTCAGTTTGAAAGTTTTTGAAAGCTTTTGTAATTGGAGTTAACCTTCCCTCTCATTTTAGGGCCTCCTCAACTCTCTGCTCAAAGGACAACAAAGAATTATGTCTCCTCCACTCAAATAGAAGACCCATGAAGCAAGTAAAAAGATCTTGTTTGTTTTTATGTCCACATTGTCTTGCATGGTAGCTAGCACAAAGGCACTAAAATTGAGGAACTGATAGATAAATGTCACTTATAAAGTGGAAGTGTAATACAGCATGAAGTAGGCCACCTCCACAGGGATGGGCTTCTCCTGGCTTAGACCCCTAGTGTCAGGGTTACCTAGGGGGCAAATTCTTGAGCCCCACCTCTGGGGATTCTGATCTGCTGGGTCTGAAACACACCTGGGAATTTTTTTTTACAAGAGCTTCTGGTAAGTAAGTACTATAAAAAATACATTCTACAATATTTAACATACAAAAAGGTATAAAAGTGCAACCAATACTTCTATACCTAGTACCTAAGACATAAAACACTGCTAATGAAGTTAACCTCTTTGCATATTCCTTCTCAATAGCCTCGGACTCTCCGCCCCATAGAGGGAGGCACTGTTCTTCATTTACATTTCTTTGTATTTCCTTATGTTCTCATGTTTTAGACTTTATATAAATGGTATCATATTTTCTGTATTCATCCATTTAGTTAACTAATCATGTTTGTGAGAACTGCCATTTTGAGAAATGCAGATTTGTTTCATCAATTTTCAATTCTGTATAATATCTCATTGTAGGACTGTGTATGTGTACAAAAATTCATTTATAAATTTCCCATTGACAGAAGTTAGTTTCTTATTTTTAGCTCTCACAAATAATGCTGCTCTAAATAATCTTGGAGAGTTTCACTAAGGTGTGTACCTAGCTGTGGCATTGCTGAGTCAAAGAATATTTTCAGTTTTAAGATAAATTGTCCAATTGTTCTCCAGGTTGCTATACCAATTTAAACCTCTATCAATTTCCACATCATCATCATTTATTTTTTAAGTTTTAATTCAGTTAGTCAACATATAGTACATCATTATTTTCAGATGTAGTATTCAATGATTCGTCTGTGGCATATAACACCCAGTGCTCATCACACCACATGCCCTCCTTTAAAAAAAGAGACTTATTTATTTATTAGAGAGAAATAGCTTGAGCAGGGTGAGGGGCAGAGGGAGAGGGAGAATCCTTGAGCAAACTCCCCGCTGAGTGAGGAGCCACACACGGGGCCCCATCCCAGGACCCTGAGATCATGACTTGAGCTGAAATTGAAAGTTGGCTGCTTAACTGACTGAGCCACGCAGGTGCCCCCACCAACATTTAATAGTATGTGGCTCAAATATTATTTCATTGTGCTTTTATTTGGAATTTCTCTGATTATGAGAAATTAGGTTAAATACCTTAGTTAGGGGTCCATTTCTGATTCCTTTTGTTTGAAATTTTTATTTTTCCTATTTCTTCATTGGGACATTTCTCCTTTTTTATGCTTCATAGAAGTTCTTTATTAATCTGGGAACTTTTTCCATTTAAGTTATTTTTGCTGTGTAACCAATTACCCAAAACATACTGGCTTAAAACAACCATTTTATTCTGCTTACAATTTTGTGAGTTAGGAATTGGGGTAAAGTTTGGCTGGGCAGTTCTCTCTTGAGATTTCTCATGTGGTTGAAGATGTAATTTGGAAATTTAATGATATGAAGGCTTAACTGGGCTGGAAACCCAAGATGGCTCATTCACATGGCTAATATCACTGATCATTTTGGGTACTCAGAGCCAATGACATTCTAATTTTTACACACACTTGGACTACAATAGCTCTTTTGAATCACCAGTCTTGGATCAATGAAATTTTTGATGTGGACTATAAAAAATTTCTGTGGAAGAATACATGGATAGACAGAAATTACTCCCCTTAATTGTTCAAGATTGTTTTTAAAAGATTTTATTTATTTAATCACGAGAGAGAGAGGAAGAGGAAGAAGCAGGCTCCCCACTGAGCAGGGAGCCCAATGCGGGACTCAATCCCAGGACCCTGGGATCATGACGAGCCAAAAGCATCCCCTTGACCATATGAGCCACCCAGGCACCTGATTGTTTAAGATTGTTATGTGTTAAATTGTGTCCTCCCAAAATTCATATGGTGAAATCTTAACCCCCCAGTACCTCAGAATGTGCTCTTATTTGCAAATAAGGCCATTCATTGCAGATGTAATTACTTAAAAGTTATACAGTCATCATTTTGCATTATTTTTAATTAATAAACTTTATTTTTTTAGAACAATTTTTGGTTCACAGCAAAACTGAGTGGAAAATATAGAGATCTCCCATATACTCTTTACTCCCCCCAAAACACAGCCTGCCCCCTATGTAATTGACATCTCACACTACAGTGGTACATTTGTTACAATTAGTCAAACAGTTTACATTAAGATTTACTCTTGGTCTTGTACATCCTCCTGGTTTTGACAAATGTATAATGATATGTATCCACCATTATAATGTCATGCAAAGTGGTTTCCCTGCCCCCCAAATCCT